TCCTGTCCCCCACCCCTGGCGACCCTTCTGACTCCCGCCCCGGCCCCCTGGCCCTGGGGCAGCCCAAACCACAGCTGGCTTAGTGAGTCAGCCTGGAGCCCAGGAGGCTGAGCCAGGTCTGCAGGGGAGAGGGGAGGCGGGAGTGTGTGTGCCATTCCCCTCCACCCCCTGCGAATAGCTGGCCCCCAACTCCCCGCCCCCCTGGGGTCAGCACACCCAGCCTCCCTGGCAGGGAGGCTTCTGAGCTCAAGTTCCCAGGCAGACTCTCCCCACTGAGCAGCGCTGGCCCCCCCACCCCAGGCCTCCTGGGTCTGCTCCAGCCCCCCTGGCGGAGCTCGAGTTTCACTGGCTTCCTCCTCTGAGTGTGGGGGGGCTCCCTCCTTCCCAAGCCTGGCTGTTCGCAGCTCCCACAGTGCTCCTGTGATGGGGCGGGAGAAATGGGGATAGGGAGACCAGCCACTTAGCCTGTCACCCCTCAATGGGGCCAGGATGCTGCCCTATGACCCCCTGACATCGAGGCTTCCCTTCGTTGTGCCCCAACTCGAGTGTCACCCCTAGAATCTGAAACTCCTCCCTACAGTCTACTGTGGAGTGCAGGTCTGGCTTGATCAAGCCCCCAACACACCTAGCCTCTCTGTTGCCTTTGGCACTCGCTGTCTGTCCTGGTCCTGCCTGCATGCTTTCTCCACACCTTTGTCCCCTGGGAGCTCAGGTCTGGGCTCAAGTGACACCTCCTCCCTGGGGCCTCCTACAGTGCTGTTCCCCCAGGGTGTTTTCTCCAGGTCATTAGCGCTAAGGGAATGACCTCAGGCTCTGGATCCGGATGGCTTGGCTTGAAAGCCCCGCCTGCCACCTGCCAGAGGAATAGCTTGACCTCTCTGGGCTGGATTCCTGGGCCCGAAGGTCCCGCAGCGCTGGGCACAGAGATGTCCAACCCACATTTCTGAGTAAACAGGGGAGGCCGCTGGGAGGCCCAGGGACACATGTGGAGGCCGGTTACCTGCAGACTCTGGTCCCAGACGGCAGGGGGGTCCCCAGGAACCCAAGTGCTCCTGGCCTCTCCCTAGTCTGTCTTGCCCAGAGGGGAGAATGAAGCTTCAGATCTAATAGTTGTGGGTTCAAATCTGGCCTCCGATCTGGCCTCCGGCTCCCTGTGGGCTTGCTTTCTTGTCTGTACACTGGGGATGTCTTTTTTTATATATATAATTATTTTATTCAATTTCATTTACTCATTCATTTATTTTAATTTGACCAGAGGGGGGGGGGGGTGAGAAAGCAAGCCACCAGGTCTGGGACTCGAACCATGGTCGGCCATGTGGGAATGTCCAGCGCCTTAACCACCACACCACTTGCGGTCCGGGGATGTCTTTCTTAAATTTATCTCCTCCTGAGGCCCGGCAGGTGGTGTGGTGGTTAGGGGTGGTGGACTCCCACATGGCTGACCGTAGTTCAAGTCCCGGGCCTGGAGGCTTGCTTTCTCAATCCCCCCCAACATCCCTGTCTCCCTGTTCCTCTCTGGTCACATTAAAATAAGTAAATAACTTTACAAAATACTTTATTTAACTTTATTTTAATGTGACCAGAGAGGGAGAGACAGGAAGTGAGAAAGCTGGCCACCAGGTCTGGGATTCGAACCGCTGCTGGTCATGTGGGAGTCCAGAACACGGCCAGTGCCCGGAACTCAGGGAGGAGCAGGTGGCTCAGAGGTGGGGGCGGAGCCTGGGCCGCGGGGGCAGGGCCTTGTTTGCGGGGGCAAGGGCGGCCTGGGCAGGAGGCCAGCGCCGGGCAGTGAGTCAGGGGCCAGGCACTCGGCGCCAGGAATGCTCGGGCCGTGAGATCAGGCACCCCCAGAGCTCCCGCCGGCCCCCGCCAGGCCGCGTCCTCACCCCCTCTATTCAGTCCCAGAACCGCTGGGGAACACGTGCGATGGGAGTCACGTGGCCCCCCCGTGAGCCCGGGCACAGCCTCCCTGCAGGTCCATCTCCCCCTTGGGGAAACTGAGGCCCAAGCTGGTCCCCAGGCAATGCGTCCTTGCCCCCACCCACCCACGTGCAGCCTTTCCTTTGGGGAGGGGGCTCAGGACCAGGGGCTTCAGTCAGCCCCGTTGGATGCTCCGTGCGCCTTAACTTAGGGGCACCCCCTCCCCCGCCCGCCTGCTTATCTCCTGGGCCTTTCAGCCGGCAGGTCTGTTTGCACAACCTCGGGGACATGCCTCTTGTCCTGCAGGGACAGGGCTCCCAGCAGCTGCCGGCCTGCCCTGCTCTGGCACCCTTGGTCACTTGGCGGAGCATCCTGCCCTCTGTGGTCCCCTCCCGCAGCGACTCAGCTGACCCTGAACACAGACAGGCTGGTTCCCCGCTGAGGCTGCAGGGCGGAGGGTGACCAGCTGTGTGTCAAGGGGACACCAGGTATCGGCGGTGGCATTTCTTGTCGCCACAGAGGGGGCTGCAGTGACATTTGGTGGGCAGAGGCCAGGGACGCTGCCCAAGGTCCTGCGATGCCCAGGATGGTCCTAGTCAGTTATTGAACTCCCAACCCCAGGGGCCGAGGCAGGGCCCAGTCTGGTTCCACCTGGCCGATCCTTTCCGACAGGGGACCTGCCCCCATGGCCAGCCCTAAGAGAACCCTCCAGCCTTAACTGGCGACCCCGAAGTGCTTTAAGAACATAATCTCTGAAAAAAATCAAAAAGAGAAAGGGACCAGCAGTTAGCGTAATGGCTGTGTCACTGGACTCCCACGTAGTCGACCGTGGTTCGCGTCCGGGACCTGGTGGCTTAAAACTCACACCGGGCGTGTGTGCGTGCGTGCCCAAGATCCCGAGAGGAGAATGGAGGAGAAGGGATTGCGGTGTGACCATCCCCCTTGGGGGGTGATTTCTCGCTTTCTGTCTCTCTGTCTCTGTCTGGCAAGCGCACGTACCCTATAGCACGTGTGGGGGCCAGCAGATGGCAGGGTGACTAAGCTGCTGAGCTGACATGTGGCCCACTGCAGGTGGGATGCAGTCTCACTTTCCCTCCCTCTCGCTGGTCAAATTAAAAATAAATAAATCAAAGTAAATAACTCTTAAAGAGGAAAAAAAAAAAAAAAAGATTGTGTATTGTGAACATTTCAGTAGCAGAGTGGGCCCTGGAAACCACGCTCAGGTTCAGGTAATGAACGAGTTGGCTTCAGGCAAAGCTATATCCAGGGGGAAACAGCCTTCGACAAAACCCCACTTCCCTCCCTCCACCCTCGGTGAGGCCGAGGCGTTGCAAGTTCCCTTTCGTAGTAATACCACAAGCGCCGAGGACAGGAAACTGGAATAATGAACACATCAATTAGCCAGCCTGGGCCTGCATTGCACGTTAAATCAGTCAGGGTTTATTCTGGTGGTTTGTACTAGAAAACCCCAAAGGAACAATGACTTACACAAGATCAAAGTTTAGGTAAGTCCTCCCCCACCCCACATCTGGCTTTACCACCACCAGCCCTCCTACTCCTTTACATGTGGCAGAATAGCTGCCTAGGCTCCAGCCATCACATCTGCATTCCAGGAAGGACAATAGAGGGGCAAAGTTGTACTTGTCTTATAAGAATAATCCTAGAAGTCTCATATAACGCTTGTACTGGCAGAACTTAGCTGGGAAATACATTTTAACTGGGGAGCTGGTGTGGGACTGTCTAAAACACAGTCCACCCTGGAGCCACAGCAAGGCCCCACTGAGATCACGGTGGGGCTGCAGGTCCCGAGAAGAAAATTCAGAGCGGACTCTACACTCCGTTTCTCCCAGAGACCCCTGGTGACACTTCCGATCGGTCTTGTTTTGAATTCAGTAACACCTGAGACGCGATCCCGTTCCCCGCGACTCACAGCCCCACGCGCATCTCGCGTCCCTCGGCTGCAGGACAAGACTGCTCAGCCCCGACACCCACAATGCCCTCACCTGACTGCTTCTCTGGACGGTCGGTCCCTTTTAAAATCCTCACACAAAACCCGCTCCCCTTGGGGAAGGCTGCCCTTGCTCTGGCCGGGGTCCTGAGGCCATGTGGCCCTCTCTGGCTGGACAGTGGTGGCTTCTACACAGCTCTGCCTCCCTCTGCTGGTTTCATGTCCCCCGTCTCTGGCACCCAGCACCGGGGCACTCATACTCCCTGGACGGATATAAAAGGGCCGGACAGAGCCAGCAGGTGGCGTGGAGGTTCAGGCAGCTGGATCTCACAGGGCTGACTCCATGGTTCGAGTCCTGGACCCGGTGGCTTAAACTCACGCCAGGTGCATGTGCGTGCCCAAGATCTTGAGAAGAGAATGGAGGAGAAGGGATTGCAGCGTGGCCATCCCCCTGCAAGGTGATTTCTCACTCACTCTCTCTCTCTCTCTCTCTCACTGTCTCTGTCCATCAGTAGAAGTGCCTTCTAGCAAAAACCTAAAAAAAAAAAATAAATAAAAGAGCTAGACTTGGACCAGAAACAATCAACACCAGGAATCTGTCGCGGGACGCCATGGCGTCGTCGGTAGGACGCTGTCACGGACGTGACACTGCGGGTGTGGCTACGACAGCTCCCTATGGTTACTAAGAGGGCCTAGTACAGGATCTGAGGCCTGATCAAGGTGAAAAATCCAGAATAAAACCCACAATGGGGTATAGCAGTTAAGGCGTGGGACTCCCACATGACTGACCGTGATTCAAGGCCCAGACCCAGATTTTTGAAACTCAAAATCCCAAAAGGAGAATGGAGAAGGGATTTTGGAGTGGCCATCCCCTCTGGGGGGTGATTTCTCACTTTGCTTCTCTGGTGAGCACACATGCTCTAAGGAAAAAACTGAAAAACAAAAAACCACTGCGCATAGGACCAGCCCGGTGGCGTGGTGGTTAAGGCGGCTGGATCCCACGTGGCTGTGTGGTTTGAGTCCCGGACCCAGTGATTTGAAAACAATGCCAGGGAAAAAGAGAGAAGGAACAGTGTGGTCACCCCCGTAGGGGGCGCTTTCTCACGCTCCCCCTTTCTCCAGGGAACACACATCCTATTAACGAAGGAACCCGCCCGCCCTGCAGAGACATTTCGTTTTCCACCCGCCCCGGCCCGGTGGCTGCCCCGGTGTGCAGCCGCAGCGAGCCCCCGGCTACCACGCGGTGTCCACCAGGCTCCAGAGGTAGTCGCTGGTGAACTTCTGGGAGAGCTGGGAGCTGTCCAGGTGGATGGGCTGGGCCATCCCGGGGCCGTGGTGGACTGAGCGCGCAGGTGTAAGGAAAAGCCGGCAGGCCGCCGTCCTGCCACCCCACGGGGGGCCCTGCCTGCCCAGACTTCATTCATTCATTTACTGCTTCTGTGAGAGGAAGGGCACCCCGAAAAGAGCCAGACAGGAGCAAAGCACAAATTCAACTGGACCCACATGGGCAGGTGCCTGGTTCGCACCCGGAGCCTTCCCTGAACACGCGGGGCACGGATGTGTTCTGTCAAGTGAGGTCACATGCCCTCCGGCAAATTAAAACGTCCCTTGCTTCCTCACTTGCATCCATGTCTGGACCGTCAGGACTCGGGGTGCATGCAGAAAAGTGCTTTTTCCAAGTCCCTGGGGATGGGATTTGAACTGTGGGTGGCCCTGCGGGATCCGACTCCCTGCGCTTAAGCCCTGAGCTACAGGGCCTGCCCCCGACCGTATAGCAATTCTGTGTTTAGTGTTTCAGAATCCCCCACGCTGCTTTCCAGAGCGCCTGAGCCATTTCGCATTGCCACCTGCTGGGGCCGGCAGGTGGCGTGGTGGTTAAGGCGCTGGACTTCCACGTGGCTGACCACAGTTCAAATCCCAGACCTGGCAGCTTGCTATCTCACTTTCCTTTTCTCTCTGTCTTTCTCTCTCTTATCAAATTAATAATAACAAATAAAATTAAATCAATCAATCAATAAAAGGATACTGCCTTTGATCACACCCGGCTCACACTCGTAATCCCACTCGATTTTACTAACCCGACGGTACAGCTGGGCCACGTACCTACAGGGGACAAGGAAGCGAAAAGGAAAGTTAGCCCCGAAGCAACGCCGGCCAAGGACCGAGGAACAGACGCAGGCGCACGCTCGCACACGCGTGTGGCACCTACACGGCGGACGGGATGGTGACCGTCGTGTCCTCGTCCACGTCCTTCTCCTGCCTCTCAAGATCGGCCTCCACCTCTTTGAGCTCCTCCAGCTCCCTGGTGAGCTGAGTAGGGCAGGGAGTTAAGGACTCCTAGTTAGGGCCGCCAGGTGGCGTGGTGGTCAAGGGCACTGGACTCCCACACGGCCGGCTGGGGTTCGAGTCCTGGACCTGGCTGCTGGCTTTCTCACTTTCCCTCGTTCCCTTTCTCCCTCTGGCTTTGTCCCTCTCTGGTCAAATAAAATAAAATAATAAATAAGTAACGTAATTCTAAAAAAAATAAATAAAAAAATAGGACTTCCAGAGGGCCAACAGGTGGCATGGTGGTTAAAGCACTGGACACTCTCGCATGGTTGACCACGGATCAAGTCCCAGACCTGGCAGCTTGCTTTCTCATTTTCCCTCTCTCCTTCTCTCTCTCTCTCTAGTCAAAATAAATGAATGAATAAATAAAATGAAAAAAAATAATAGTAAAAAAGGACTTCCGGTTTTGGAAGGACGCCCGGAGTAGCAGCGAGGCGGTGCGTGTGGTGGGCGGGCTGCCTGGCCCCCAGGAAAGGATATTGGAGGCTGGCCTTGAGCTGAGCGTCCTTCTCCCCGGCCTTCTGGATCTCGGCTTCCAGTTGCTGCAGCTCGGAGCCACCCCGGTGGGCCTGGTCCTTGGCGTCGAGAAGGCTTTGGGCCACTTCCTTCTCTGCGGCCAGGATCTCTGCAGGGCGGGACAGAAGCAGGCTCTGTACCCCAGGAGGGTGGAGAGGAGGCCCAGCCGCCCCCGGTTGGAAACAGACACCCCCACTTCCTGTCTGTGTCCTGTTCCCAGAGGCCTGCCAGGGCCTCACCTAGAACCTGCACCAGAACTTCCTTCCAACCAGAACTCACTGCAATCCAAGAGGGGGCCAGCAGGTGGCGTGGTGGCTAAGGTGCTGGACTCCCACGTGAGCAACAGCAGTTCGAGTCCCGAACCTGGTAACTTGAAAATCATCCTGGGAGGGACCCAGCAGCTAGCATAATGGTTATGTCGCTGGACTCTCATGTAGTCAACCACGGTTCGAGTCCCGGACCCGGAAGCTTAAACTCACACTAGGTGCATGTGTGTGCTCAAGACCCCGAGAGGAGAATGGAAAATTATCCTGGGCGTGTATGTGTGTGTGCCCCACGTCCTGAGCCTAGAGGAGAAGGGATTACACTGTGGTGACCCCCTTGGGGGTGGTTTCTCAATTTCGCTTTCTCTCTGTCTTTCTAAAGCAAATACATATGCCTTATGGGGAAAAAAATGTTTTTTTTTTTTTGGAGAGGTTTTTTGCTATAGGGCACATGTGCTTGCCAGACAGACAGAGAGAGACAGAGAGACAGAAAGACAAAGTGAGAAATCACCCCCAGGGGGGATGGCCATGCTGCAATCCCTTGTCCTCCATTCTCCTCTCGGGATCTTGGGCGCACACGCGCCCAGTGTGAGTTTAAGCCACCGGGTCCGGGACTCGGATCGCAGTTGACTACGTGGGAGTCCAGCGACATAGCCATGACGCCAACTGCTGGTCCCAAGGGAAAAAAATGTTTTTAAAATAGCCAGGGACCAGCAGATGGCATAGTGGTCACGTCGCCAGACTTCCACATAGTCAGCAGCTTGAAACTCACACTGGGTGCGTGTGTGTGCGTGCCCAAGATCCCGAGAGGAGAATGGAGGAGAAGGGATTGCAGCGTGGCCATCCCCCCTCGGGGGTGATTTCTCGCTTTCTGTCTCTCTGTCTCACTCTGTCTCTCCAGCGAGCGCACACCCCCTCCAGCAAAAATCTCTCTTTAAAAAAAATGGCACCAGCAGATAGCGTAACAATTATATGGCACGATTCCCGAATGGCTGACCCCAGTCCAAGTCCTGGACCCGCTAGCTTGAAGTTCCCACCGGGCACGTGTGTGTGTGCCCAGGACCCTGTGGCCACCCGGGGGGTGATTTCTCACTTTCCCTCTTGCTCTCGTACCTTAGGGCAAAAACCGCAACAACAACAACAAATTAAAATGAAAATACATCAAAAGCGTGCAGGGAGTGAATTCTGAGTCCGAGGGTTACGCATCCCATCCGTGGTAACACACACTCCCCTCTCCGAGCCTCCGCAGCCCCCTGCAGGGGGCACCTCCAACTTTTCGCTGTTTTCCCTGGCACGGGCTTCCCCATTTTTAGATAATCTGCTTATGCTGCTGTTTCTCGGTCTGTCTGCTGATTTCCTGTCAGGACAGCTGAGGGTCTGGCTGTCTCCCGCAGCTGCTGCACTCCTCCGCTCTCCCTCCCAAAGGACAAGCATGTCTTCTAGAATTTTGGCCCAGGAGGGAACGCTTCCCCATGGAGGCCTTTTTTTTTTTTTTTTTAAGGTTTATGCCATAGAATGCATGCCATCCTTGGAGAGGAGAGAGACAGTGAGAGGGAAAGTGAGAAATCACCCCCCCCCCAATGGGGGATGGCCATGCTGGCATCCCTTC